TTGCCTTCTGCGCTGAATCCTGCATCTAAAAATAGCGCTGAAATTATACGTCCTCTCCACTAACTTACAAATCCCTTTGGAACAGTTTATCAGGATGTTATCTAGAGGCACAGAGGGAGCACTCCCTCAAACATCACTTCTCTCCAGCTCCATCACTGTTCACACCTGCCCTAATCCCAAAACCTTGTGTTGCCTGAGTCTTGCCTTTACCAGAATAAGAGACTGTTGTTTCTCCCTTCAGTTACATCACTGGTTTCTGTATGTTCAGAAATGATCCTACATTTGATTATTATTTTTTTTAAAGTTTCTTTGCAAAGATAGGTAAGCTTCTTCCATCACTTCTCAACACTGAACAGCAAGTAGCTTCACTCTACTATAACGCAGCTAAATTACGTTACTACCAGTGAATTTGCAGCAACGAAGCGTTTGACCTATATAGCTTTCTTGTGAGCACAACTAATTTTACAGCCTCGGAACAAACAGATTTCAGTCTTTCTGTAGCGACACCCATTTTGGTAGAATACAGCGAACAGGAGCTCTGAAGTGACTGACCCACCAAAATAAGTTTTGTGAGAGAGGCCTGTTAGTAACGTGGTCAACAGAACATTTACAAAAGCAAGTCAGCTGAGCAGTCTGCAATGGAGAGGAACAACAAATCTTCCCTGACAGTTCTTGGCAGGGCAAGCTCTTGTACTACGGAGCAGTAAGAAAATGAAGACCAAGAAGAAAAGAACAGGATATATTTTAAAGGGAGACAATGCAAAAACAGCAAGTACGGGAAATATTTAAGGCAGCACAAATGCAAGAAAAAGTGTAAAAGTGGCCCACTGGATATAAGTGTAGGAAACAAATTTATCAACACGTTAAGAGAATACGGGAAAGTGACATTGCAGGAATCTGTGGCTTAGCTACGCACTGATCTGAGAAGTTCCCTACTCAAGCCTCTAAATAAATGCTTTCTCTGCTACAGTTTTTGAGGGCTGAACAGCATCAACCTTACAGGATACTGCTAAAGCAAAGCTTCTGGATGTAACATTCTGAAATGTTGTATTTTGAAGCAGATGTTCATTACCAATTCACTATACATTATCATGAACCTTCAGCTTCCAGACCATTTTCCCATAAAAAATGCATTGGCAACCTAAGGAGCCATTTTGTGCTAACCAAACCAGATGTTTCTTGATACTGATTGTCCACGTCTCCCTACCCACTTCCACCTGCTGAGCGTCACTCCTGTGCAAGAACAGCTTTTAAGTCATCACAACTCTTGATGCCAAAGTAACCTTCCCAGAAGGTTTACCCAGAGAGGAAGTTCCGAGAAAGCAAGGCAGGCCACTTTCAAGGCAAATTGGGTTTGATATGTTCCTGCAGAGTAGAGTACATACTTGGAAAGCACAAAGCTGTATGTCACGTTTCAGTTGAGACTACGCTTCTCAGCACAGTTCTCCGCCAGTACAGTCCGGTCTTCTCAGCACAGAGAATTTTTATTTGTTTAATGGCAGTTTTGGGTCACATTTGCTCTTCGTCTCTGAAAACATGAAGTTTCACTGCCTCAGAAGTTCAGCCCAGCAGAACTGCTAGTACTTCCTTACTAAACCCTTGTGTTTGCTAGCTACAATATAACAGGGCTTAAAAAAATAATGAAAAATTAAAATAACCATAGCGTAGTTAAATTTTTATTTTAAACACGACTCAGACACACCGGGTATGCGAATTGGAGAACTGTAGCTTAGTCAGTGAAACAACGCAATGGGTTGCTTTAGTAAACTCCACCATCAGAAGGAAAAATAAGTCCAGCTAATATTCTTGAACTGAAGAGGCCTGCAAAAAGCTGAAGAGTCAGAAGAACTTTGTCACGATGACCATTTGCTTTCCAGCTTCAGTCTGCACAGTAACAAGCAGCTTTAAACACACACACACACGCAAGAAAAACAGAAGGCTATCTGCTGCTTAGGCCATAAAAATTTCCTCATCTTTTAGAGGCCGGCAATTTCAATTAGAAGATGCAAAATACACAGGCTCTTGATGAAAGGAAAGCAGGGCCTCGGAATAATGAAGATCAAATAGGAGAAATACACGGTTAAAAGGAATTGCTTTGCAGGCTGCGGAGTGCATGGCACAGCTCCTCGCAGCTCCAGCAGCACTGGAATGGCACACAAGAGTAAACAGCATCACATTCTTCTGCCTGCTCTAATGCATTTGTCCTGAGCAGGCTCAGTGACATCTTAATAGCAACGCTGCTAAGTTATTGGTGAGGGAGACAGCTCATTTCTCTGGGATACATTTCAAGGCACAGTCCCCTCAAATGACTTAGGTGCGTGGAAATAGCCTCGAAGTGAGAGACGAGGCAAAACAAACCAACCTCCTGCTTGCAGATCCGTATTTGCAATTCCTTCCCACAGGGGTAAGCCCGCAGCAAAGCCCACCTGACACAGCAGAGAGCGGGGAGAAGGGCAGTGCCAGGGGGCACGGCTGTGTGCCCTGAGGTGACCATGAGGGCAGATGGCTGGTGGGAGAGGGGGCAGCAGGGGTGGGGAGCCTGGGCGCTGCCAAAGCAGGCGAGGCCCCCGGGATGCTCCCTAGGAGGCCGGCGGGGGGCTGCTGCCACGGGGAAGCCCCCGGGAGCCACCACCCGGGCAGGATGGTGCAGCCCCGCCCGCATTGTCTGCGGCCTCGCCTCGCCTCAGCGCCGGGCCCTGCCCGCGCCCCCCCCCGCGCCCCGGCCCCACTCACCTGGCGGCCCCGGCCCGGCTCCGGCGGCGGGGAGGCGGCGAGGGCAGGGCCGGGCCGGGCCGGGCCGTGCCGGGCTGGAAGCGCCGCCCCGCGGGCGGGCGGGGCCGGGGGCGCCGCGGCGGGGCCGGGGCCCGGGGGCGGGGGGAGCCGGCCCCAGCCCGGCCAGACAGACAAAGGCGGGCAGGGCAGCGCCGGCACCCCGCGGCCACGGGGGTTCCCCCGGGGCAGCTCCGCCGGCCCCCGGCTGCTGCGGGGGCGCTGCCGGGCACCACGCGGCTCCCCTGCCCCTGCCCCGCAGGGTCTCTAAATCAAGCCCCCGACGCCGCCCGCTGCGAGGCCGGGGTTAAATGAACCAGGCGGGGACCTTTGTAACCAGCGGGGGGGCACCGAGAAGCGTGCTGGTGGCTGTACGGGTCCCCCCTGCCCTGCCCTGTGTTGTCCCCAAACCAGCCGCGGCCTGCATCCCATCCTACTCCAGCAGGGGTTTCACAACACGTATTAAATGTTTTATAGATAAATTAGCAACATAACGTAATACGTTTCTTTTAAGGGACGGAAGAGCACATCCAGCTGGAACAATGGGACAGAGGAGAAATGGGAAGGGGAAAAAGAAACAATCAGATAATCGCTGACTCCGACTTAGTAAACCCTGTAATTAGGATTTCCAAGTATTTACAGCTCTCAAGGGTCCTTCAAGTCATACTCCCTGCACAACAAAACCTTCATATCAGATACTTAAGATTTGGAGACTATTATTTCCACCCCACAAAGCACTCAGATCAACTTCCAACTGCATGCACAGTTCAGGATGTTCCTAACCGACCTACAAAGGGATGCACGGAGCTGGTGCAGGCAGCAGATGACAATTAGCCAGGGTAGCAAAGGAGGGGAAAAAAAAAGGATTGACTGAAAAAGCTCACAACGTGACAAGTGAATTTCAGCTGTAAATTCATCACCTCGCACACAGAGGCACGGGAGAAAAACAAGTCGTAACGTGAGCTGGAAGGCAGGTTTTTGGAACTGACAGGGAAACGGGAACACGATGTCTGTCAGAACTGTAAGGTCTACACGAGATTAGCAGCTCCACAGTGGCACAAGCCAGGTTTTTGGGAGACACAGGCCCAGATTACATAACTGGCCCACATCAGGGGAAGGACAAGAGTCAGCATGGAAACAAGTCCCACAGATCCAAGTCACACGGGCATGAGAACCAGCAATACCCATCCATTAGCACGCATTCATTTTTTAATATTAAGTTAGCAAATGAGAAGTCTTGCATCAATACAGATTTAAAGCAGTCTCTCTCCATGCCTTGAAAATCCAACTTCCATCTATTTTTGTGCAGGTGCCACAAATAATTTTTTCCATAGCAGGCCCCCTAGTTAATATTCCCAATTTTGTGTTCTTTAGAATTACCTTCAATAAACGCATCTATAACACCGTTGACAACCAGCTCACTGTACCTGATTGCTGCTTTTGTTGCTACTACCTTGATACATCCATTTCTTGGTGAAGCTTAAAAGCTTTAACCCTACTGCAATTGTCTGAAGGGGAAAAAAGAAGGCGTGTCTATAGGTTTTGAATGGAGGAAACCAACAAGAACAGCAAAGTTTTAAGGAAGGTGAAGCATGAGGGAAGAGACAGTGCAACAAAATCCTAATTTTTGCCCAACCAATCAATCTGATCCTGGACAGCAGAAGTGTCAATACTGTAACAGCAGCTTGCACCCCATCACTCTTCTTTCTGGCTTGATGCTATTGCAAAGCTTCAATAATAATAGATTTCTATTAGTAGCCTTTCATAATACTTCAATATTTGAGACTAGCAGCATTTGGAAACATGCATCTTTACAGTTTCCAACTAATTAGCATGCTAATTGAAAGTGCAGAGCAATGCCTTCTCCAACACAGCAGTAATAAGGGAGGAAGGTCTCCCACAGCTGGCAGCCCAGCATCCTGACAGCTACTCCTTCCTTCCCCACCTGCAGAGGGCAATTTGTAATAGCACCGTGGTTTACTACAAGCACTGGAAGATTTAATACTAAACGTAACATAAGAATCAGAAAAAAAGAAATCCTCAACATAATTAGATAGCTGATACACACTGAACAAAAATCAGACAGCAGGTTGTAGCAGAAGAGTTTGGGGTGTTTGGGGGGATGGTTGTGCTTTGTTTTGTTTGTTTTAAACAGCAGAGTCCAGGCCTGCTTGTGCTGCACATTAGTTTCATTCCCCAGCCTCTGCTGCACAATCCTGTGGGTCCCTTGCTGGGAAAACTGCAGATTCTGGAGGACCCCCCCCAAGCAACGTGAGAGCTCCTGTGTTAAGGAGGATCACAAGACTGTGACTCAGAACCAGAATGAAGCCGACGAGGAGAGGGGTGGGGGGATCCCACACTGCTGCCAGCTACAGAGGGCTCAGCACCTGGGGACGGGCCCAGGGCACGGAGGACCAACCCCTGAGCCGCAGGAGCGTTGGCAGGTTTTGCTGTGAGGCCATCATTATCTCGAGGGACGCCTTCCCCAGGTGATTCGCGAAGGGAAGCCATCCCCGCACAAGGGCTGGGAGGTGGGGGGGGGCGAGAGGCCAGCAAAACGCCTCCGTGACGGGGCTCCAGCAGCGAGCCGAGCCCGGCCACCTCCCGGGAGCGAAGCCAGCAGCTCCCAGTACCCCCCAGTACCTCCCCGCCGCGATGCCACGAGCGACGCAGCCGCGGCCCCGCCAGGCCCCAGCCGCCTGCACGGCGCAGGCCGCGGCCTCCCCCGCTCCCAGTCCCCCCCTCACAGCGCGGCAGCGGCCCGGGGGCAGCGGGGGGGAGGGGAAGGCCGGCGCCTTCCCGCAGGGGGGCGGCAGCGCCGCTCCCGGGGCCGCGGCCCCCTGACAGGGCGGAGGGCCCGGCGCTAGGCCTAGCGGAGGGCCGGGGCCTACCTCAGCCCTCAGCGGCCTCCGTGGGCCCGGCGGAGCGCGGCGGGAGGCGGCGGCGGGGGCCCGGCAGAGCGCGGCGGAGCGGGGGCGGCTCTCACCTGGCCGCCGCGGGTCGGGCGCGGCGAGTGTCCGGCCGCTGCTCGGCGCCGTTTGAAATCGCTCCCCCCGCCCGCACCTCCCAGTGTCCTCCTCGCCCATTGGCCCGCGCCCGCCCCGCCCGCTGCCACAGCCGCGCTCCTCATTGGGCCGTTTGAATCCGGCAGCGGCGAGGCCCGGCCCGGCCCTGAGGAGAGCCCCGCGAGCTGAGGGGGCTGCGGCCGGGGGGAGCCGCCCTCAGCACGGGGGGACCCAGGGGGCGGCTTCGGGACCCAAAGCCTCTCCCCCTGCCCCTGTGCCCCCCGCCCCACCCAGAGGACGTGCATTAAATAAAAAATGAGCTGTCAAAGCATTTGTGCGTGGCCTCGGTGTGATCACTCCTGTGCAATTTCAGAGGTTGTGGAGGAATAAAGCAGTTTTGGAATCGTGTCGGTGGTGTTCTGTTCCCCCAGAAACAGGCAGCAGGGAATGCGAGATCAGCACCAGGAGTGGGCAGGCAGTTCCTACTGAACGTGTCCTTCAGTATTCTGCCCCTTCGTTAAGCTCTGTTATTAAAAAAAGGCCCCAGCCAGCACCTCCTCTTCTTCAGGGCTCTGTTTTCCACCAGGCAGAGAGCACGAAACAACCCTTTTCTTTGTCATATGCTGCTGGAGAGCAGTCGTCCTGAGACTTCCCATAAAAAAATAAAAAGGCCACACTCCTGGGCTGTCCCCATGTCAAAATGGTAAAGGCAAAAAGCCAAGTAGGGGCAGGGTGAGAGTACATGTGGGTGTAGGGATGTAAAGGTGAGTGGAGGGAGCTGGCCCTTGCTTCAAAGCCTTAGTGACAGAAGTGTGTGTGACACTGCTGATGGAAACCACCCCCATCCCTTCCTACCTTTGTGTTCCTCTCAACTGAAACTAAGGTGAGGTTTTGTGCAAACAGGTCTGGGAGCTCCTCTTTCAAAGTAGAGTCCAAATAACATGCACGATTCACAACCAAAAGCCAGGCAGAGTGGTTAAGAAAAGCTAAATTTATATTAAATTATCATCAACCCCTAAAATACTGAACACAGTGGTTAAATAACTCCAGAAAGTCCGATGTCTCCAGTGAGTAACGTTAAAACCATTACACAGGAACACAGGGAAATCACTGATGTTAGCTCAGGACAGACAGGAGAGAGGTTTGCTTTTTACATAGTAAATCAGTGCTCAAGAGATCATCCTCCAGTGGCCTTTTTACATTCTTAGCAGCCTAAGTGCAATGAGGGTCTTCTTTTCCCCAGAATGGGGAAACACGATGCACCCCCGAGGCAGCATCTCACTGGAGCTTTCTCCATACTTTAAGAAACTAATTTTTGTCCACCTCACTTGCAGAGGAGAGACTGGGGGATGTTTTGGTGCCTTTCTGCCATATTCTTCTCAGGAAGGGGGCAGTTATGAATGGTTGTTAGGCTGGAATATGCAAGGTCCCTCCTGAGAAGCAGCAGAGGATAAACCAAGGTGGAGATCACAAGCACCATTAGTTGTTGGAAGGACTGACTGGGTTTTCCTTTCCCTTCTGCACTCATGACTTGGACAGCAATTATTTCAACAGGCTTGACTGAACCTCAAGGGCCAGTCTGGACAGATGTTTCCTTTCACCCCTGTCCCACCTCAGGAGGTTGGTGCACACTTACAGAGCTACTGAGGAAAAGTAAATAAATAAAAAAAAGCTCCTGCTCTCCCACAAGTCAAAGTCTTCCTCCCCTGTCCTTCACTCCCAGCTCTAACGCCCCCGCCCCTACACGTGGCTTCTGTTCAGATTGAGCCTTGTGCCTGTGCTTCAGCCTTTGATGTCCCCGATGAGGCAGCCTAGACCGACCAGGTCCATGTCAGTGATACACAATCCTTTCTCAGTCCCCACCTGAGTCCACACCTCAATCCAGAAGTGCCCCCGTCCAACAAAAAAAAAAAAGTTTCCCATGCTGGAGTCAATCAAATAAATAATTAAATAAAAATCTAATAAAAAAACCAATCCCTCTGGGAGTAGGGAAGAGTCCCACATTAACACAGGGAGATATCCAAGCCTTCGCTCCAGTTTGTTTTCCACACCAATACACACCAGTCAGCCCAATGGTGCAATTATGAACAGTTTCAAGCCACCTAGCCAGGGCAAAGCTGCAACCTTCCCCTTGCTGCAAAGCTACCTCTGGTGTAAAATGTACAGCCAACCCACCAGCAACCGTCATGTTTTCAGGGGCAGCAGGACTGTTAGTATATGAACAAGGTTAGAGCAGAGTAGGATTGATTTTGCTTTTTTTTTTTTTTTTTTTACTAGCTGGAAAAATATTGCACAGGAGATGTATCCTCCCCTGCACCTCTACCGTATGCTTTGCTCTCTTTACACCATGGGTGGGAATGTACTTGGCTTCTTCCTAGGAGATAAAGAGGTCACAGTTTGCCGTGAGAAATTCTTCACTGGAAAGTTCTGCTTCCAAGTATCTGGTTTAACACTTACTATTTTACCATGATAGTATTCGTGTAACTTGAGGGGTTGATTTAAATCTCATTTCTGAAGAAGCGTCAAGAGACATTTTCTCAATCTTTTTTCCTGCCTGAACAAACAGATGACAAGAGAAGTCAGGACACTATGAAAAGGTGGCAACAGTCCTTGGGAGCGTGCAAGCTCCAGCTGCTGCTGGGTTGTAACTGCAAGGGTAGAATTACCCCCCTAGAGGGTAAAGGCCTTGGAGGCCAGAGAACAACTGAAGCTCACACAGCTGATGGGAAAAACAACTTTGCAAGGAGAGCTCTTTAGTAGAACAGCGGGGCTTAAAGTGCTATTCTCTCTGACAAACTATTTTAAAATGGCCCTTGCAGCTCCGTGATTATCGTCTCCAACTCTAGGTCAAACGCGCTCGGCTTTGTAATAAACCAGCTCCTAACTGTTAGCACTGAGGGTGCCCCTGGGGGAGGCTTGACCTAGGAATTCCTTTTTCCCTTGCTACGGTAATCAAAGGTCATAAAGGCCAAGAGAACTGGGACCTGTTCAGTTCCAAAAGAACTGGAACTGGTGGGGATTTAGCAATTTTATTTTTATTTTTATATATATATATATATATATATATATTTATATATATCAATTATGCAAAGGCAAGAGTAAAACTTGGGTCTGGCTGAGATGCATTTCCTCCCATTAGCTCTCTAGAGCTACGAACAATACCGGTTTATTCTTTCCTCAAGTACAGCACTCTGACTCCAGTACCCACAGGGAGCAGTTTTGAAAGGACGACTTGCTGACTCTTATTTTTCTGGAACAGAAATATTTTTCAAGAGGAAAGGGGAGAAACAGGAGCAGTGTCCACTGCCAGCAACAGACACAGTGCTCCGATCTGAGAATTCTGTAAGGATTTTTACTAGCAGATGGGAACGTAAACAGTGATGCTCTCCTGAAGTGTCACGGCAACTGTGGTTACCCTCTTTATGCCCTCAAAAGGTGACCTGACGCTGTGTCACTGTCCCCTTGAGCCCCAGAGTATACTCCATCTATTCCAAAACATCTCTCCAGTCAGAGACCCCACAACATAAAGCCTCAAAGAGTGCTGCTAGTGCTGGAATGACTAGGGGAACTTCTGTGACCAGGAGCTAGCGTCGAGGCAGCTCTGCTCTCTTCATGGGCATCGACTGTGAGCTGGACGGCACGGGACTTGCAGGTTGCCAGAGAACACAGAACCTGGACCAGATTCAGGCCAAAGGAGTCACTGCAAAAGTTAACGTGGCAGCTTCCAGGAAAAGGGAACATATAAATAAACCACAGACAGTGAAAATGAGCCAAAAGGGTCTCTGGGTTCCAACCCACCCATCCTCCCCCTCCAACCACAACAGCACAGCTGCCCAAGCTCCTTGCTGAAAGGCAGTCACAGTCTCTGGGCCCCTCACAAGAGAGGCTAGTCTCTGTGCCCTTCCTTGCCTGCAGGCAGAGTCCTGTCTTTTTTGTGCAGAGCAAAGGCTAGGGAGGGTACGAGCATTTCCAAAGGAGCGTGTACTTTAGACCTCGCTCTCCGTGGAGGGCTTGCGTTGGTGTTTCCAGCCTGTGTCTGGGAGTGAGCCCCGCCGTTCAGGAGTGGCTGCTGCTGTGTTAACGCTGCTGCATTCAGACTGTTCTTCCTGAAGCAGCTGCTCAGTTTCAGTGTCATCCAGTGAACCAGAACTAGCCTGGATAGAGACCGTGTCCGTCTTCATGCAAACGTGGTCCCGGAGGATCCCTCCTCGAGAGCTCCGAATTTGCTTAAGGTCATCCCACTCTGAATCATCACTGGATAAAAGGCATATGCCCTCCACAATCTTTATCTTCTCCTTGGTGTAGCTGTGGTCAGGACCAGTCTAAGGAGCAGAGAGATGAGTGAAAAAACAATACATCTATGTAAAAATAAGGCAAAGAGCAAAGCAGAGTTGGCACAAAGCATGAAGCAGATAACAGGCTGGACCTCCATGTAAACAGCCACTGGCTCTCACTGTCACAATGGCAAAACCCATTCTAAGTTC